AGTCCTGCAAGATAGCTCCACTGGGGGTGAGGGCTTGCAGAAGGGAGAGATACAGCTCCATATAGTAACACAAGCAGCACATTGACAGAATTACGAAGACCCTAGAAACTATCCCTAATAAATGAGCACACCCCAAAGTAATGGGCAAATCTAGTAACACAGATCACCTATGGGTGCCAGGGGGGAACTCAGGGAGGGTAAGAGCTGCACAGAGAAGACAAGTGTGGAGAGCATCCAGCAACAAGGGGATTGGAGTGAGGGGAATCCTGAGTGTGTGTGTATCTGAGTGTACTAGTGCCTGTGTGTGGTTGCACAGTTTAGTGCGATTGTGTCTGTTTGGGTGTATCTTTGTGTATCCACTTGTTTGGTTGTGCAATGGGGCATCTCTGGCCATTGCTGCATGTCTCTCTGTGTGCACTTGTGTTGGTGCCTATTTATATATTTTTGTATGTGTGCACAGGTGGTGTGCATGCTCAGTCTGTGTTTGGGGGGTGTTTTAATGTGTCTGTGTATATGACAGGGCCTAGTTGTATCTATGTGTGGTTGTCTGTGTATACAGCTTTATGTGTATCTCCATGTATGCTTGCATCTATGTTCATTTGTGTGTGTGTGTGTATTAATTTGTCTCCATGTTTGGATGTGATTGTGTTGGAGTGTGGTTGTATGTGGCTGGGTATGTGGCTGTGTATCTGCATGTGTGATTAGGTGTGGTTGTAGCTCTGTGTGGTTCTGCATGTTTCTGTATGTGTCTTTGCATGTGCGCATGTCTGGTGAGTTGTGTCTTTGTGGCTGGCTAGTGTGTGTTTTTGTGGCTGGCTGTGGGGCTCTCAGCACATGCAGTTGTGTGGCTGTGTGTACCCGTGTCTGCAGCTCTGTGTGTCTTAATGCCTGTGTATCTCTGGCTCTGTATTGTGGGGCAATAAAAACAAATCAGCAAACTTGGAGTGAGAAGGAGACCAAAAGATGCCAGGGGGAAGAGCTGACAGGGAGGAGGAGGGAACAGCGGGGGCAGGGAGGTTGTAGCAGCTCTAGACTGTGGGTGAAGCAAGCAGGGCTATGAGGGGACAGGCACTGAGGGAGCAAGGACAGAGCCATGGAGCTTGGCAGAAGGCCTCCCCCACCCCCATCCTCCCACACCCCTTGCCCCTGCCCTGGGCTCACCTTCCTCTTTAGCTGCTGGATCTCAGCCTCAGTTACGGCGTGCTTGATCTGCAGCTGTTGGAAAGGAGCAGAGCCTTAATACCCCAGTAAAGCCAGCAAGGTGCCAGCACTATCCCCTGGTACCCTCAGAGGGGTATTATCCCAGGTCATGGCAGGAACTACACAGTCCCTTCATTTTTACATTGAAATCAGGGAGTGAACACTGGTGTCCTAGTAAAACCCCAGTTAGCTATACAGCTTCAGTGAGTCCCCACTACACACACACCTGACAGGTTTGATTAGCGATGGGACTCTCCTCCAATTTCTTGCCTAAGCTGTTGAGTTAGCATGGCTGAACAGCTGCAAAACACCTGCTCCATCCCAGAGATGGCTGCACTTCAATAATGGAGGAGTGATGGTTTCACACTGATATGACTCTCCTGGCCTTGATGCAGTGACTCCAGATTTGCACCAGAGTGAGAAGAGAACCAGGTTTGCGGGGTCAGACCCTCAAAGGGCTCAGCACCCACAAGGTGGGTCTGATCTGAAGCCTCCAGACAAAGCCCTCCTGAAGACCTAGGCCACATGGTCTGGAAATCATGTTGGGACCATTCAGCTGAGAGATGCTCTGCTGAGGTGAACTGTTTCTATTTGGCAGGAGCAGAGCAGCTGTACCTGAGAGCCTTGGAATTGAAGGGGTGTTGTTGCAATCAGTACGCACATGGCTTCAATGCACTTGAGCTAAAAGGATGCCCACCAGCTGTCCGGTGTGGGGCCTAGTGCATAGATGGCTTGGGAGATATCTATGCAGCCCTTGAGACATGCTGGTAGAGCTTCCAGCCACTAGAGGGCAACACAACACAAAACATGCATGTGTCCACCTTCCCCACACACCAGTGCTCTCATGCAATATATACAACCTATACCTCTTGCAATATATACCTCCTTCCATACCCCCATGCACAAACACTTACATCCATATAGTTCCTGACCCACATGTATGCATGTATGTCCATGCATCTCAGGGTGCACATGCATGCACAGACACACACAGACACACACACACGCACACACATGCACGCCTCTGGTAGCCTATATACACGATCATAGTCACATACTGATTGAACTATGAATGCACATGTATGCATGCACACAGAGTCAGGTACTTATGTAAACATACCTGCACAGAGTCAGTAGCATACACATGTGCACACTCACATTGGTAAAAACATCCTCATAAGTGCATGCACATGTATGGCCCTATGCTCCCACATGCTCATGCATGCACAGACATTTGGATTTGTGAGTTACTGACCCCTCCCATCTCCCCGGATTCCCAGGGCACAGAATCCACTCCCCTCCACCCCGCTGCATTCAGTACCTCCTTAAATTTGTGCACCAGCTTCTCAGGGTCCATCTCAACAGGGGACAGCATGTCCTCATTCTCAGCCAGCTCAAAGACCTCAATGGCCATCTCGCTGCTGGGGAACATAGGGCTCATCTCCTCGTCCTCGTCCGTAGCATATTCGCCTGTCTGTAAATATAAACCAACGGGGGGGTGGCAAGGCATTGGCTTGGTTCTGGCTTCCCCTCCCATGACTCCCCACGTATGTGATGCAGTACTCACGCAGACCAAATCACAGTAACAGCTCCCCACTCCACTCACCATCCTGCACCACCCCTTAGCAAAGAATGCAGCTCCCAGGATCAAAACAATGCACTACTCTAGCTTAAGAATGGCCTTGTGGTGACAGCACCTCTGCTGGGACTCAGGAGACCCAAGCTCCCCTTGCACCTCTGCCACTGGCTCCCTATGTGACCATGGGCATCACCTCATCTTCCTGTTCCCTTTCTGTAAAATGGGCACAATACCTCTGTGTTGCATCTTTCAACTGTAAATACTTGGTCCCATACTCTGTGTGTGTGGGTGTTCTGGGTATGCACAGCACCTAGCACAATGGAGACCCCACAATGGATGAGGAGTCTATGCATTGGCTCAGTACAGTTAATTGTTGGGGAACACACACAAGTCTTTCCATTGGTTTCAGGATGCACAGAACAAAGCTCCTTTTCCTCAGCTTGTCTTTGAAAAGCTGGGAAATGTATTGTGTACAGTTCTATTGTATTGAAGCCCTCAGAGGCCTCAGGCACACCCACTGCCCAATTAACAGCAGTTTTCCAAAGCAATTCAGACTAAGTGGAAACTGGAGGGGCTTTGTGACCAGGTTTTTATCATGTGTCTGTCCCAGTACAATGGGGCCCAATTCTACCCTGGGGTCTCCATGCTGCTACATAAACCTGATGTAATCACCATCATTAATATAGTAGTGTAAATCAGTGCAACTTCATTGAACTCAGTGAGCCGGGTCCCCAGTGAGTTTCATAGTTTCATAGTAGGTAGGGTCGGAAGGGACCTGAACAGATCATCAAATACGACCCCCTGCCATGGCAGGAAAGGGTACTGGGGTCAAACGACCCTGGCAAGGTGTTCATCCAGCCTCCTCTCAAAGACCCCCAGGATAGGAGCCAGCACCACTTCTCTTAGAAGTTGGTTCCAGATCCTAGCCGCCCTGACTGTGAAGTAGCGCCTCCTGATATCTAGCCTGAATCTACCCTCTGCTAGCTTATGACCATTATTTCTTGTCACTCCTGGTAGTGCTCGGGGGAACAGAGACTCTCCCAATGTCTGCTGGTTCCTCCTGACTAATTTGTAAATGGCCACTAGATTCCCCCCTCAGCCTTGTCTGGTGGAGGCTGAACAGGTTCAGGTCCCTTAGCCTCTCCTCATAGGGCCTACCCTGCTGACTCCTGATCATGCGGGTGGCCCTCCTCTGGACCCTCTCCATGCTATCCACATCCCTCCTGAAGTGCGGCGCCCAGAACTGGACACAGTACTCCAACTGTGGCCTGACCAGTGTCGCATAGAGGGGGAGGATCACCTCCTTGGACCTGCTTGAGATGCATCTGTGGATGCATGACAAGGTATGATTGGCCTATCTGACTGCGTCCTCACATTGGTGACCCATGTTCATTTTGGCATCAATAATGACTCCAAGATCCTTTTCTACCTCTGCACTGATGAGAAGGAAGTTACCCAGACTGTAGGTATACTGCTGGTTCTTCCTCCCCAGGTGCAGTACCTTGTACTTGTCAGTGTTGAAACCCATCCTGTTCTTATCCACCCACCCCTGTAACCTGTCCAGGTCCGATTGCAGCCTATTCCTCCCTTCTAGTGTGCCCACTTCTCCCCACATCTTAGTGTCATCTGAGAATTTGAACAGGGTGCTTTTTACACCCCCGTCCAAGTTGCTGATGAAGATGTTGAACAGCGCAGGCCCGAGGACCGAGCCCTGAGGGACCCCACTGCCCACATCCCTCCAGGTCAAAAATGACCCGTCCACCATCACTCTCTGGGTGCAGCCCTCCAGCCAGTTAGTGACCCGTTTGACTGTGTAGGTGTTGATGCCACAGTCTCCTAGTTTTTTAGTAAGAATGGGGTGAGAGACAGTGTCGAAGGCCTTCCTAAAGTCCAGAAAGACTACGTCCACCGCAACACCTGCATCTAAGGATTTTGTGACCTGGTTGTAGAAGGCCACCAGGTTGGTCTGACAGGACCTGCCTCTAATGAACCCATGTTGGTTGCCCCTAAGCATAATCTCCCCTGCTGGCCCCTCGCGGACATGTGCCAGGATAATTCTCTCAAAAAGCTTACCCAGAACTGAGGTAAGACTGACTGGCCTATAGTTTCCTGGGTCCTCCTTCCTCCCTTTTTTGAAAATGGGAACCACATTGGCCCTTTTCCAGTCCTCTGGCACCATGCCAGAGCACCATGAGTGCTTGTTAAGCCATGCCAGGGGTCCCGCAATGAGTGAAATGAAGTATTGCATCATTGACATCAGTGGGTCAAAATCCCAGAGGGTGTAGGTCAGTGCGGCAACTCTGAAGTCAGTGGACTCCAGGTTTGTACCAGATGAAGATCTGAAGTCATGGTCACCATCCCCACAGGACAGAGCACTGTCAGAAAGGCATTCCTAGCTCTGCCACTGAGCTGCTGGGTGACCTTGGGAAGCTCGTTTATTCTCTGTGCCTCCATGTCCCCATCTGTAAGATGGAAGATCTCATTCCTGCACTCCTTTGTAAAGCACTTTGACAGCCACCACTGAACAGCACTGTGTGACAGCCGAGCCCTTATAATCAGACCCCACAATATACTATTCCCTCATTTTTCAGCTGTCTCCCCCTCAGGACAGTGTCCCCAGGTCTCCTGCAGGGAGATCCCACCAAGCCTAGAAGCTGCCATGTTCTACCAGGAGGTGGAGTCACATCCCCATCTTGGGAACAGGAGAGGCCTCACAGCATTTCCCTTCCCTGTCCTCCAGAGTCCAGAGGCAGGGAAGTAACACCTCAAGCTAGGTGCCAGTTAGGGTCAGGTACATACAACATGAGGGACCAGGCCAGCACCATGGCCAGGGCTGCAGAGACAAGATGGAGGGACCTGTTCTCCAGTGCATCACTACGCAGGCTAGTGCTAAGCACTTCCATGCACAGTGCAGCAGCACTTCATGCCTGCCGTCCCCTGGGGCTGAGGACAGCCCCATCAGGTCCTGTGAGTCTGGTTTGCTTTCAGAGTGACAAGGGGAGAGCACAACAGAAACCAGTAGGAGAAACCTACTATAGTTGATTTGGGTCCATGAGTGAAATGGCAGAGATATGGGGGAAGCAGCATTGTCCAATGGTTAGAGCACCACCCTGGGGCCCAAGACTTGGCTCTGCCACTGATCTCCTCTGCCACTGACCTCCTCTGTGACCCTGTCATGACTCTTCTTTCTCCTCCCAGACTTTGTTTGTCCTGCCAGTATGGAGCTAAACCTCTTCAGAGAAAGGAGGGTCTCACTGTATCAATACAGCCCCAAGTACAAAAGGGGCTGCCAGTAAACCAGGGGCATCTTTCAGCTAGGGTACCAATGCTGCTCTGGCCGGGAAAAGCTGAGATCACACTCACACTCCACTTACTTCTTCATCGTCCTCTGTATACTGGGTGTATCGCTGCTCCATCATTTCCCGCTGCCATCGCTCCTGCTCCAGTGTCTGCTGGATCAGCTGAGCCACCTCACTCTGCTCACCCGGCTTCTCCCGCCCGATCAGGAACCTGGGAGAGGGAGAGACAAGCAATCAGCCTGGGATACTGCTGGGGTCCTGGTTGTCATTTCATCTCCTCAGGTATCACACATTACACACTGTCTTTGAAGCCCCTAGACTCTGTGGGACCCTGCAGTGGGGAGCAATGCAGGGTGATTGCAAATGGTCCTTCTGGGGAGCACAGTGTTGTGACTCTGCTGGGTGTTGCCTCTGTTCTCGTGTAGGCTGGTGCTTAGGAAGTATAAAACACTACCCCTCAGATGGGGTAATATTGCGGGCAGGAAAATGAGGAGCTTGTGACTTTTCCAGGCATCCCCCTAATCCCACTGCATCCTGTCCCGCACCTGCCGCCAGCCCCTATGAGATGGACGTCCACTCTCTCTCACCACATAGCCCTAAGAAATCAGCAGGTGCCTGCTGGGGGAGTCTGACAGGGATCTCCGGGTGGGGGTCAGAGCCCCCAGGCTGTGGAGGAGTTTACCTGTCCTCGCTCCCAGCCTGGACAACAACCAATTCCTTTTTCTCTGCTCTGTCCGTGGAGCCGTGATGGAAACAGGCCTCAGCGCAGAATGAACTGGAATCTCACTGCTTTTTAACTACTCCATCCAGCCCACGAGAGGCAGGGGGAAACCCATCCTCCTCCATAACCCACTAAGGCTAGGATCCCCTGAGGCTCCCCGGATGGCCTCTGCCTCCTCAGGCTTCCAAGGCCAGATGCTCAGCCTGCAGCTGGGAGTGATGGAGCAGGGGGGGACTCACTGCCTTCAGTGCAGGCAGGATCAGGCCAGCGTGCCAGTGGGAGGGAGGCTATACAGGGCTAGAGTTGGGTCCTGTCTGCTCTGGGCTCAGCTGCTTTTGCCTGATGCTGCCATCTTGACGCATGAGTTGACACTGGGCTTTTTTTTTAATTTACCGGGGAATCTATTTTTTCAGTATATTCCACACAAACATCCACCACTGGGTATCAGGCACGGATCAGGGGCGTCTCCTGACCTGCCGCGCTGGGCCTTGCCAGGAAGGGTGGTGCTTCAGATACCCAGGGTGAGATAAAGGGACTGTTAGGCAGCTGCAGGCTGTGCCGGCATGCCGCCCGTGGCCCAGCGGAAACGCCTGCCGTGCATGTGCTTCCTCTCAGCTCTTCACGCTCACTCACTTCCTGCCTGGCTCCCACTGCCTGCCAGGGACTGGGCCTGCCTCCCTGCGTCACGCCCTGCCAGCACAGTGTGAGGTGAGGCAAGGACTGGGCATGCAGGGAAATGCAGGAAGGCTGGAGAGGTTAGACAAGGTGGTGTCGGGGGCCATGGGGCAATGCAGATGGAGTGCCCTCTGGCCATTACCTGGCATGGTGGGAGATGGATAGTGGGTGCTATAGAGTCTGCAGTGGAAGGTTTGATTGGACAAAGACAATGGGGTGCTCTAGTGCTGGAAGTCAGGAGTGATTAGGGGTTACACAGTGAGACACCAGAGGGGTGAAGGTTGTGGAGTGATGGAAGATAAACGGGTTGCTACAGGGTGAGCTGTAGAGGCTATGGGTGCTGTGGGTCAGCAGGGGAGATTATGGAGTTAGAGGAGATCCCCAGGAAGTGCTACAAGTTATAGGGTAAAAAAGGATGCTCTGGGGGCAGAGTTGTCAGGGTGGAGAGTGTGGGGGACGCACAGTGAAAGCTGTCTTAGGGGACCCCAGGGCAATTCTGGCAGGGAGGTGAGGAAAGGGTGCCTGGCAAGTACATGGAGCAGCAGGACAGAGAGGGTCCCTGCCTTTCCTGCTCAGACTTGGGGTCACTGAGCCCTTGTATCAGCTGACTGCTTGAATGAGGAGCCAGAAGAGGCTGCTGGCGCACAAGGTAAAAGCCGCATGCTCCCTCTGCACTAAGATTAGGCCTTTAGGGTCAGGTAACATCACTCTCCAGAGCAATACCATCCTGCCATGCTGGCTGGGTTTGATCAGAAACCTGCTGCTTTTCCAGATTGCTTTGCTATTTCATTCCCTGCCAAAATGGCATGGAACAAAATCAGCCCCAGGCCTGCCCCTGCCCCCAGCTGAGGCCATGAAGAGCAGGGGCAGGCAGAACTGATGACCTGGGTGTATGCTCAGGCGGGTGGGTGTCTGCTGGGTTTCTGCTTCCTTCACAGACGGTCTGTCGCTGCCCAAGGGCAGGCAGTTTGGGGACACCACGCGGGAGTTTCTGGTGCCTGGCCAAGTCTGATCTAGCTGGCTGGGCAAATCTCAGCAGCAGCTTCTTCCCACGCTGAGTGCTTCTTCCTGCTTTGGTTTTGAAAGGGGCTGGGAAGGCCCTTGTTGGTCTCCAGAGCATCACCTATTGCTGCTCCATTCCCCTTTTCAAAGTCCCTTTTCAAAGGCTTACTGGATTTTCCAGTAAGCCTTCGGCCCTGCCCATATTGATCTTGCAGTGTTTTACCAGCTGGGGACAGCTCAGCTCCCGTCCCCTTCTGGCGTGATGAGTTACACAGCAATACATGACCATAGGTCACTACTGCTGTCTCCACATAGGAAGCGGAATGAAATCATGGCTGCGCTGTACAGCAGGGATGCTCAACCTCTGGCTTGCAGAGCCATGGCATCTGACCATGGGGCTCGTCATGGGTCAGTAAATTTGGTGGCTTGGGAGCAGTGATAATTAACACCGCTACCAAATTTCCAAGCTCCACGTGACAGGCGGGGGCCAGGCCATACTCCCTTCCCTCCACGTCCACCCCAGGCTCTGGATCAGGACTGCCAGCTGGATATGGCCGATGGATGGATTAGGCACTGCCCATCTGGCCCTCTGGGAAAAAAGGTTGAGCACCATTGATCTAGAGGTAGAGGGAAGGCAGCATCCTTCTCCAGCAAAGAGCTCCCAGTTGGGACGTGGTTATACTGGCAAAGCTGTGTTTGCATTGGTTTAGGACAGTGCTTGTCAACCAGGGGTACGCATACCCCTAGGGGTACTTAAAAGGTTCGTAGGGGGTACATAGGACTCTGTGTGCATACGCAGCTGCAGCGCAGCAAGTGGGCGGGCAGGAGTACAGCCCGGCCATGTAGAGAGCAGCTGGGTCTGGCAGGCAAGTTTGTTATGGGGGGAGGGAGTGGGGCTGGGGCAGGGGCTGCCCAGCCAGGGCATGGCATGGGACTGAGCTGCACAGGGGACTGGGGTGGGGGTGGCTCCCGCTGCTATGCACACCCTGAGAGGACATGGGGGACGTGTGCCCTCAGATCTGCATGTGAGGCAGGCTGCCGGCTGGGGCTGGGGCAGCACTGGGCTCTTCCTGGCAGGAGGCTGGACCGGGATGCGCTCGGGGTGGGGAGCAACGATGCCGGGAGGGGGGCTGGTGAACTGGGGCTGGGGCTGGAGCAGGGGAGGCACTGCCCAGCTGGGGCAGAGCGCAGGACAGAACTGTTAGCAGCTCATGTGGCGGGTGTGCAGGGTGGCGGCACCCGCCACCGTGCACACCCTGGGAGAGCATGGGGGGGCATGTGCCCCTGGATCTGCATGCAGGGCACAGCAGGCTGTGGTGGGCTGGGGCTGAGGCAGCACCGGGCTGTTCCTGGCAGGGGTGTTGGGGCAGGCTGTGCTGGGAGTAGGGGGAGGGCACTACAACAAATTTTTGGGTGGCTGCTGCCCCCCCATAGCGCCCCTCCCACTGCTGCCGCCACCCACCACAGAGCAGCCTGGCCCAGCCCCACTCCCCACCCTGCCAGAAACAGCCTGGTGCAGCCCCAGCCCACCCATGCCCCACATGCAGACCCAGGGGCACATGCCCCCCATGCACCCAGAAGAGGTACACTTGTTAAAAAAGGTTGAAAACCCATGGTGTAGGAAAACCTTCCCTGCAAGCAAAACAAGTGACACAGTACAGTTTTGCCAGTGTAACAGCATTCACACTAGTCAGCTCTGCTGGCCCAGTCAGGGATAACACCACAGAGCTGTGCTAACATCAGTCTGCAGCATACACCCGACCTCAACTGTCCCCATGTATGGTGTGTCCACACCACAGCAACAGGGGCTCCCGACATATTGCACCCAGCCACTCCCACCTGTGAGGCTGCTCCAGCCTTGACCCCAGGACATGTTGGGCACTGAAGTCAAGAGTAACCTTGGGGGCATGTCCCAAGAGTGGCCTCACCACTGAATTTCCAGGTGAGGGAGACTGGGGTGTGGGGGTGACAGGACTGGGCATGTTAGAAGTGCCTCTGCTGGGAAGTGCTGTCCCTGTAGTACAGATATGCTCTTAGTGCCATTTAACACCGCATACTGGCACCCACACAAGGGGCTCTGCTGTTATGAGGCTGGTGGCAGAGAAGTTCAGCCCCTCACTATCAGAATTATACCTGTAGCAAATCTCTGTGCACACTGGGCCTTCAGGACCACATCACCCAAGGCGATCAGCACCCAGTGGATGCCCAAGCACCCAGACTCTTGAGGAGATATGCTCCCTTGTCTCAGCCCAGCTGGATTGAACATTTTGGCCTAATTCTCCCCACGTTAGCAGCGGCATGAAACTGCAATGACTGCACTGCAGCCAGAGAAGTACAGGGCAGGGGCAGGGCCAGAAGAAGCCAGTCCACCTCACTCTGTTTGGGGCATCATAGCTGCCCTCTGTGATGGGGTGAACGGAGGTTTTTTACTGCCTGAGGAAGGAGCAGGTGACATCTGGGAACAGACAAGCACCTGCCTCCTGTTAATGCCTATGGTAAGAGAGAGAGAGGAGAGCTGGGCCAGTCTGGAGCTGGCGGTGTGAGATCTTCCTGGGCAATTCCAACAAAGCCTTCCGTTGCAACAACTCCAGACTCCCTTCCATTCCCCAAGGGCAGTGAAGTCACCTGGAACGTGATCACAGAGCCAGGCTGTTTGTCTGGCTCCACAGAGCTGCAGGAAGCTGAGACAATGGGCCTGTCTCTGTTCTAGTCATTTCCATGCAGTGGAGGAAGGGGCTGGAGAAGACCTATGGACTCCCCTCAGAGCTCGGCTCTCAGTGGTGGGACCCATTCCCCACTCCGCTCCCACTTTCTGCAAGGGGGCTTGTTCACTTTGAAGCCTACTACTGACATCTGTCTGAGGCTGGTGACCAGCTCACTGCTAATGGCTGTCAGGGCTTGTTTGAGAATGAAAGGTTGCAGGAAGGGCTTAAATAGAGCCCCAGGCCTCCACCATTTTCCCCTCCCTCACCTGGCTGGGGACTACAGCCTCCCACGTGCTCCCTGCAGGAAGCAACATGATCTCAGGAGAGACGCTAGCATGGGGCACCTGCTGGCAGGGCACTAAGGGGCATGGGTCTTCCCCCCTCTGGCTGCTCCATCCTGTTTCTTTGCTCATGGCAAGCCGGGCGCACGCTGTTCCCCTACCGGACTCTACCCTTGGTGTTCCTCAGCACTGAGGCCGCGAAGCTCTGGGTCACGCCCACCAAGCTGGTGCCGTCCACCTCCACGATGAGATCGTTCACCTGGATCCTAGGGGAGAAAGGGCATGAGTGAGACCACTGATCAGATCACTGGCCTGTTTCATCCAGCATTACACCACTTGCTGTACTGGAGCACAGCCATTATCTTTCCAGTCTGGCACCTTGCCTCCTTCCACTGTCAACATCTAGTGCTGCACAGGAAGGAATGACCTTAACCCCCTGGACTGCGTTGCAGAGCAATTTCTGCCCTGATCCCTGTCCTGCCAGTGATCAGATTATACCTTGAAGCAGGTGTGTTGATTGCTCTTGGCACCGTAATCCCTACTGGTATCACTGCAGCTAAATCCCCACCATCCTGCGACTTCCACCTCCAGCAGGGCACTGGGATGGACACCCGGAAAGAGTTAATCAGAGATTGTTCTGCTCCATGGAAAGAGGAAGGGAAATTCTGGCTGGCCCGAGCTATCTGTGCTCCGGAAGCAAGACTCAGTACAGGGCCAGGGAAGGGAAGTTCTCACTGCCAGGAGGAGGGGCATGGATGAGGACTAGTGCAATGCTTTAGAGGGACTCTGAGATGCTGTCAGGTCAGCACCAACCAGCACAAGCTCAGGCCTGTCCACAGAGGCCTCTTCTTCTTCTCTGCTACCAAGCCATGCCTCTGGATCTCTCCCACTGCCCCTGCACCCATCTGCCCCTACCTGGGTACCACATTCTCATGCTCTCCCTCACCCCAGGGAGAGCCAGCAGCAGGAAGCCTAGCTCCCCATGGCTGAAGTGGGAGCCAGTGGTTAGGACAACCCAAGCCAAACTATGGCTGGGCAGGAACACAAGGGCCAGGGAGAAATGTGTGGGGAGGGAGGAACTGGATGAGGCCTCTGAAGACAAACTCCAGGAGAGTCACAATCCAGCCCCCACCCCAGTTCCCCCAGAATAAAATCCCTTCTCCCTTCCCCCTTCGCTTCCACGGGGGAGTTCCCATCTCCCACCCACTCTCGCTAACTTCCCCATACAGCCCCCTCTCCCATCACTGTTCCCTGTAGCTGATTCCCCTTACAGACACCCCTCCTTCATTTCCAGTTCTCCCTGGTAACTCCCCTCGCACCCTGCATAAATTCCCCTCCCTTCTGCCTCCCCCTTCAGCCCTCAGTGCACCCATACCCTGCTCCTGCCCCAGGATCTCCCAGGGCCTCTGTCTCTCCACAGGCACCAGGAAGGGGCTGAGGGGGGCTCTTCTCATGGTAGGAATGAGGCCTTGCCATGGCGGTTTTTGTCAGAGACAGGAAGGAAGTGTTTTTTTGGAGCTGGTGAAGGATCCAGCAGCTGAGTTAAGTGTCTGCTGAGACCCAGAGGGGTGCCTGCTCCAGCCTGGCCTGGGACAGATGAATTAAAGTCAGTTCTCTCTGCTCTTGCCAAGCAGCTGAAGCTGTCACGTGCAGGGCAGTGCGTGAAGCTGGACCACAGGGCAACCCTGAGGAAACTCTTTGGTCCCAGAAGCAGCTTGGCAGTGTCTTTGGTATTCAGAGTGACTGAGGGTTAAAACCTTGAGAGAAAGCAGAAATGTCCCTGGATTTAGGAGGCCACAGTCCAGACATCAGGGTTGCAATGGGGCCCTGGTCTTGAGGCTGACAGTGATCTCCCAGGAACTCCAGTCCCACCCTGGCATCCCCCACACCTACCACCCCTCAGTCAGGATTGTTCTCACACTGAAAAGCTTTTTCTGTGCCCATCTCAGGTCTGTAACATGCAGAGAGCAGGTTTCCTCCTTTTCTGAGTCCACACACTAGGCCAGAAGCTCACGCTCCCTGACAGCCACTTTGTCCTCTCTGCATAATTAATAGTGCCGCAAGCTCCAATTTCAGCATCAATCTGGGCAATCTGAACTCACACGTAGAGCACACCCACCCACTGCGCAAGCATGTCACAACAAACACAACTCCCCTACACAAACACATGTGCAGACACACACAGCCAGGCTCAGTTATACTAAGGAATCCATACAAACTCCCGTCTCTGAACAAACACACTTAGTGACACTTGCACAAATGCATATGCAGAGACCCTGTATTTGCAAGGGGCTGCCTTTTATAAGCCTGCCTGGCCTATGCCTGTTTGGCTCATACCTCATTCAGCTCTACCTGAGGCCCACCTGAGGCAAGGCATGCCACGCACAGTTGCAAACAAACAGGCAGTCACTGCAAAACACTAGTCCAACATGAAGTCAGCACAAAACAGACTCCTTAGAAACTTAGGTGTTCATTGGAGGGTTTCAGGAAGAGGCTGACTAAGCATTGGTCAGAAGTAATTTAGAAATAGCATTCCTGTATTTGAGAAAAAGGTTAGAACCGATGACCCTCATGGTCCTTTCCAGCTCTATGATTCTACACACACCTGGAGATGCCCACGTGGTAGGAAACACTGGAAGCTGCCTCAGGCTTGAGCATTCAGAAGTGGAGCCTGACCAGTCAGGTTTTTTTTTAATGGATCACAAATGTCTTTCACCTAAAAGGTACGGATCTTTCTTTCTGCACGGCTGCTCACCATGTTAGGACTTAAAATGCAAAACCAACTAGCAAGAGCCATGATCCTAAACCAAGTAGCCAGGAACAGTGTAAGTATAGGAAGGGGGTCCTAGTTTAAGGACTTATTCTGAGTCTGAAAATTTCTGCAGTCGGCACTGCACACACAAGTGTATCCCACTGCATTAAATCCCCTGGCACACACACACATAGCATATCTGTGCAAAGACAGAGAGCCATGGCAAGTGCTGAGTAGCTAGAAGGGTCACAAGGCTAAGCTACCTATTCCACTGACCTAACTTTCATGATTCCTTTTAACACTTTTCTCCCCCTTTGCTCTGCAAAACCTGCCACTGTAAAATTCCTTTGATGCCTACTGTGGCCTTAGGGAAAGGGCCTGATTCTTTCAGAGGGCTGGATTCTTCAGCTGTCCCTCATGATACCATTCACACCCAATGGTGTGACTCAAGGGCTAGTCTATTCAAAATGTCACCCTGTTTTAACAATGGAGGCCCCATTAAGCTGACTAACTGGGCTAACTGGTGTTATGCTGCCTGGGCTGTGGAGATGTAAGCTGAGCCAATGGAAACCAGGTTTAAATCAATGTCAGCATTCACATGTCAAGTGGTACTGATGAATTCATCAGTGCATCACCCCCCCATAATGAACCAGTGTGGAGGTCAGGTCTGAGTGTTTGCTGCAAGCAAGTGGAATACCCCCTTTTTGGGTTAATGTAAAAGGCAGTAGTGGTTGTAAGGAAATGAAGGATCCTGCCCTACCCCATTCTGCATCGGCTTGTTTGTGTTGGGCTGAAGCAGGCTGGGAAAAGATTGTCTGAGTGCTCTCCCCAGAGCCCCTTCTGGGAAGGAGGTATGTGCACTGCACGGCTGGCCAAGTGAGCAAGGCTTAAATAAATACAGAAATCTGTTACAGATGCGAGCAGAAGGCACACAGCAATGTCCTCTCCAGCTCATCACGACGCGCGCCGTAGCCCATGTACACATTCACACAGTGGCTCACGGTGCTGCCAACTCTCACCGTTTTATCAGGGGTGCTACACCATGGGTTGCTTTCTTCTGAAAGTGACAGCTGCTGGAGTCACGTGATTCTGAAAGCATGTCATTTTAAATAAACAAAGTGAGCTTCTCACTCTCCCAGCTGTGGAGAAAGTGTGGGAAATGTGACCCATGAATGACTGATAGCAAGAAGGCAAATAAAAGGAAGCCCAAGTTTATCAGCTATAAAAATGTCTTGCTATGTAAGTCAATCTCACTGTTTTGGGACCTGATTCCTGATTTTTAAATGCTTGGGGATAGTAGTACTGACTGTGGGCTAGATCCTATTTCACTTTATGTGCCCAGATGGCACATACGCAACTACATTAGAGCTGCCTTGGCCTGGTTAGTAGGGCTGTGCTCTAGCCAGGCAGGTACATGATAATGTACATCTACAAGTCCTGAAATTGTAGCAAGGCAAAAACCGATGATGGGAGTAGAAGGAAAGTAGGCAAGTTTTAGCCCAAGGGGGCACATATTGCACTAGAAGGGTTTGAATCGACTTCTCCTGCTTCCTGTATCAGTGGTTAGCAACTTTCTTTAGGCTATAGACCAAAATGACCCAGCTCAGGTTAGAGGTGGGTAGGTGCTAGAACCTGGTTGCTACCACATCTCCCTACCACAGCAAGATCTAGACCATGGGCCCTGGCTCTAAACCACTAGGCTGCAAGTCAGGCACTAGCTAATCCCCTCCCCTTGAAACTGGTCCCTTTGACTGCTGGAAGGAGAAGCTTTGCATGGCCCCAAAGACAAGAGGAAGCTAAAATGTTTGTAGCTCAGTGACAGCCTGCCCTCTGAGATGGGAGCAAGCCCTGGTTTCTAACCCAGATACTTGCCCACAAAAGGGCAGACGCTTCTCCACTGCTCTCCATCCATTTGATCCAATAACTGCTAAATGCAAAGGGGACTGGGTCAGCTTTGAGCGGTGGACTGAAGAGGGAATGAGGCAAAACACAAATGCACTCTGTGAGAGGGTGCCAAAAATAGCATTGATGAGGCCAGGGAGCTGCCATTTAGGTGTCTAAGGTGAAATAGGATCTAGTCCAATGGGTCTGCAACCCACGGGCTGGACTCACAACTAGCACCTATGCGCAGCACAATATCAGCAAGAGGTGTGCGCACAATCTTGTGTACCAGGCAGATTGTATGCAATTTCACAACTCAGACCACACATGTGAAAACACTATGAACATGCATACATATAAGCATGTATACATATGTGTGTATGTATGTATATCAAGAACAATGACCACAACAGATATTTGTTAGCAATTTGTTTACAACTGACCTGAAAACATGCATGACCACTGTTATATATACACACACACACATCTGTGCCACCATGTACACTAATACAGCTACAATACACAGAGCAATAACCAATATCTGCACACTCCCCCTGAAAAGCTAAGCAGTCAGCCCATATCTGCAGCACAGAATAGCCAGCCCCTCCACATCACATGCCCAACAAACAAGGCACAACAGGAAACCGGCAGGCAGCATTCACAACATCCCAACCGCACAGAGTTATACAACACACAAAGCACTGCCTGCAGCCAGAGTTTCAGTAACTCCTACAGAGACAGGCTGAGCCCAGAGGAGCAGGGAGCTCCTGGCAGCCAGCACTCATGCACTGCACCAGCCCCTAACAACACCTTCTGCTGGGAGGGGGTGGGACTGCAGTGGCTGGCAGCTTTCTCAAGTGCTCCTTACCCCATACCCCACAGCACCTGCTGCTGAGAGTGATGGCAGGGGAAGCCCACAGATCAGCAGAACATGTGTGCTAGAGGGGGCAGGTTTATGCTGGGACTGAGCAAGATAGGAATCTTGGTCTTGCAATGAAGACACTGGTTCTGGGATGAGTGGTGACCTGGTTCTGTCCCCAGCCCTGCCATTCATGCCTTTGCCTTTGAGTCCAGAATCAGGGGCCCTGGATCATGCTACATGACGGAGGATGGGAACATGCCCTTTTAACTCAAGAGCCTATGCATTAGCCAGGGTTACCTGCCGTCCCGATGAGCTGCCCCACCTTCAGTCACCGTCTTGACGAAGATGCCAAGTTTCTCCAGGCCCATGTCGGCTCCAGCACCCATCCCAATAATGCTGATTCCCAGACCCTCAGAATCTGCAAGAAAGAAATCCAGTGTCCTCAAGGGCTCCAGCAGGGAGACTCAGAGCCAGTGCTGTCCCCTTTCCCCAGCCTGGGTGATGTGGGGCTCCTGAGTAGGGGGGTGGCCAGGCAGGGGGTGCCTACTGGTGTGGCACTGGGCTGAGCAAATACCAAGGGAGGGGAGTGGCAGGGATCCCGGCAGTGTCTGGCCCCCAGGGCAGGAGGGGTGTGAGGAAACAGTAGGAGAGAGGAACAGTGTTTATTACAGAGGGAGGAAAGGACAGATGGCAGCTAAATTACAGGAGGCAGTGTGTGTGGGAGGGGGACGCACCAGCAGGAA